TATTTGCTGACTAGTTTGAAAACGCACCCTTAAAGCTACCATGGTAAGCAACAATCGTGATGGAACACATGAAGTGATGCCCAAACACCATTGACTCCTGAAAGGTGCCAGGAGCATCCTCAAGAATCTCCCAGCTCTGTTACATAAGCAAAGCAGGATGGTTGAAGAGGGATTATATCTATTATTGTCCCCAAGTGCTGCGAAATGCACTTCGTGCCATTATTTGTTTAGCCGGGGTATTTTTTTCGATGATTGTCAATGTCAGATGAAATCTGTCAAAGAATGTCAAAATGTGTGCGGAGAGATCAGTACATATTAGAATCATGCGACCGCGCGCTTATTTTGTGCCAAGAATGGGTAAGGTAAAGTCTGTATTCGAGAAAAGTGGCCCATCAGGCCGGAGGTTATCCCGGTTTCTGTAGCATGAAGCGGCTAGGAGTATTTGTACTCCCCCCTGGATGGGATGCTAGTCCATCGCAGGGTTACCCCCAGCATTAAATTCGCCGGTATCCAATTATATACTTGGGTGGAGAGAGGCACTTTGAGAGTAAAGTGTCTTGCAGGAGAACACAACACAATGTCCCCGGGCCACCGCGTCAAGGTGGTGCCAAAAGAAACAAACCAAAAAACGAAAGCAAACAAAAGAGGAATTTCTCAGTAAACAGAGACCCGTGGACTACCTAAAAAAGTATTATATTTGATAGTTCATACATTTTTTTAGGGCGCAACGAAGAAAGTAAGTTGGAAAGCACAAATAACAGTGACTTAATATTTTTTTCGGTGGCTCGAATGCTCGTCTGCTCAGGAAAATTGCATGGCTAAATTCTGGATGTGCAAAAAATTTAACGCCATATATTTCATGGCATGACTTTACACATGAAATTAGCGTCAGCTGAATATATTTTTTTGAGTAAAGTTCTCAAGGCTCTTGAGACGTTGATTTACGCACGATCAGTTTTGCGCCAGACGTAATAAATTGACTTGTGACAATGTTGTTCTCAGTTTGGTCAAAATTTGCATATTTTTGTCCATGCAGTATTTTTGGCTTTTTCGCGGTAATTGTTTAATGCAATTTCGCCGATTTAAATGGTACTTGAACGACAGGAAAAAGTAAGCCGAAGTTTGGAAGGACCAATTCATGACTGTTCACTGCGGTTTCACTCGTTGTTTTGAAAGCGCGCGACGTTTGTTGTCTTTATTTCCGTGAATTTGGGCACGTTCTTTTTAGTGACACTGTTGACCTTTCTGTCTCAACAATTGTATAAAAATACAGCTACATTCACCACCGGTCTAGCGTAAGTCTTGACGCTCACGCGGACTTCTTTCTCGTACGTGCTGCGAAACACTGGAACAGCGTATCTGAAAAGTGTTTTCGCTGCAGGGAAGTTGTCTTTGTTATAAGGCGAAGAATTAAAGCTTTCAAACCATGTAAGTAAAAAACGCAGTAATTAATCGGTTTTCGGGTTATTTTTTTGTGGTAATTTAACTTCAAATTCTCGGCTGTCTTGACTAGTTGTCAAATTGCTTGCACTTTGGATATGGTCTCCAGTCTTAAGGTTTTCTCTTTACTTCCGAAGTGCGGTTCAATTTTGCAGGGAAAGCAAATCGTGTTTAGCGGACAATGTCGTTACTTTTTCTCTCTTTGATTCCGAAGTTGACGTCATCTGCCCGAAATTCACCCGAACAACAGCACTCGAAGAGTGGTCGCCGGGAGAAAAGACTCTAACCCGATGACTGAAATACGAGAACCGCGCATCAGAGCAGATGGAATCACAAGCTAGCCGCTCTGAGGAAACTGTTCTCACCTCGGCAGCAGCGAAAAAAGTTCAATTTGCGGACCTGGTTGGTCACCAGCTCGAATTCGTGAAAAATATAACTCCTTGCAGCAGCGAAGACAACTTGTGTGCTTTAGTTGGCGCTTGGAAAAGTCACTGTGATATCAATGGAAATCTGCTTCCGAGATGCGTGAAATATCTTTCCCCGTGCTTCATTCAGCCTTCTAAAGCGGTAGAGAGTTTCACGAAGCGGGTTTACAGCCAGAATGTCTGCCTTGAGAACATCGTTTGCGAGAACTTTGCGGTCACTGGAGTTATTCGTGTGACAAATTTATGTTATAGTAAAGAGGTGACTGTGAGATTCACACTAGATAGCTGGAAGACATATCAGGACATTTGGGCGGATTACATGTCCACTTGTTCAGATGGCAAAACAGACAAGTTTAGTTTTCGCATCACATTGCCTCATGACTTTAAAGCAAATAGGTTCATGGAGTTTGCAATCTGCTATCGTGTCTGGAACCAAGAGTTCTGGGACAATAATGACAGAATTAATTACCGTGTTCGGTGTTTAAAAGTCGTGTTGGGCTGAACATGAGTTTCAGAACAGTTCGTTACTGTACCAAACAGAAAAACGAAAATCAACACAGGTGTTAGCGCGAATGTGTACAAGCCCTGTTGTTGATTTGAGGGGTAGGATTTTCCGCAGTTAACTCAAAACACGAGAAGAGATAATATCACTGACTGACCCTTCTTTCTTGTACTGATACCTTGTTACATGTAAAAAGTGCTACCAATATCAAAAGAATACATAAGAGTGATATCGATACAACTCAATATGAAATCCATGCTCGCTTGCATGCCAGAGTTTGGTACGTTTGTAAAATCAGATGTTAGTTGTTTTACTGACAAAGGTCAGTCAACGCTTTACTTGAAAAATAAATCGGATTGTTTCTCAAGATTGATCAGTGATGGTTATTTTCTGAAGTTCGTGATCCCGGGGCAAGCTCACTGCTGCGATAGGCTGTCGTGAACAGTGAGAAAAACAACGTGCAACAGAAAATAATCTATTAAACCATAATGGATGGCGAAGTCCGGTGGAACCGGACAAAATATCCCACTTGTAATAAGATATTTAATTGCGCTCTGAGTGCGGAAATTATTTTTGATATTTTAAAACAAATTGCACAGTTACCTTCAAACGTGATAAGTTCACAATGTTAACACTTGTTCACTTGTTTAGACTGGAATTATTAAAGAGTAAAACTGGTTCAAACCGTTTGTAATGATGACATCTGGACTGAAGCAGAGATAATGGTATATTAAGCCTTGTTTGTGATGGACTTACCTCGAAAAGTCTTGTCGCACAGCCCTACAAGACGCATAAGTGTTCCTAAACGTATTTGTTATTTTGGTGTTACAGATGATGACATTCGACAAGAAGAGGGCTTCAAAAACGTTTCGCTCGGAAACGTTCTCGCCGCTCATTCTGTCGATAAAAAGGTCACCTTCCTTAGCGATGAGGATCAAGTAAGACACTCCATTTGAATAACTTCTCCCTCGCATAAAATAATATGGCTTCATAACCTTTCCTTTCGTGTAAATAAAATAATCTGTCAAATGTTTACGGGCCTGGCGGCTCATATCAGACGTTAGAATCCAGCCCACGTTAGAGTTTTGGTTTGACACTGATTATGACTAGCTACTGAACAATTTGGAAAGACTAGGAATTGGAAACGAACAGTGTAATCAAATTACCGTCAAGCTAGAGGATGAATATTGCTTGATCAATGCAGCTGATTATTTTGAGTCGAATTTAAAAAAAGAAACACAAAACAAAACAAAACTAAACTAAAATTTTCAATAAAAAGGAGACAAAACAATAATTATCAGATCACCGTTTCACACACTACTTCTGTTGCTTATAGCTTCACAGATATTATTTGCAGGCCACAGTTATGATATAATTATCCTTGATTTTTAGGAACTCTTTACCAAGCTCAAAGCTCCAGCATTTGAAGTTCAAGTTGGCCTTCATGAACTCTTAGGTCATGGAAGCGGGAAACTCTTTGTTAAAGTGAGTGATTGCTGTCCTCATCTGATCCCGCTTGAGTCGTGAGTGACGGCTTTGTCTTGTCTTCTTTCTAATGTTTAATTTTCTAGCTGAAGCTTCTTAACACATCTCTTGGTTCTCTAACGTGATGTTTATGATACTTTTTTTCTAAATTTCTCAGCGAAATGACGGCAAGTTCAATTTTGATATTGACGCAGTGAAGCACACAGAAACTGGAGAAAAAGTAAGATGACGGTTTGATTTTATTTTGTAGTTTCGTTTTTGTTACAGGTATTTCAGACATTCACATTGTTATTGTGGTTTCCAGATCTCTAGCTGGTACACAGACGGGGAGACCTGGTACACGCGGTTCGCTGAACTGAGTTCGTCGTATGAGGAATGCCGTGCAGAGTGTGTGGGAATCTATCTTTGCACCTCTAAAGAAGTGCTCAGGTCAGTAGTAGCCATAAAATGCCCTGAATATGACTTCAGCTGTGGCCGTGATGTCAACAGCTCCGCAATTCATTACAATAATTCACTGCGGTGCGTGGCCAAGTGGGACAATTTAACAACAATACGTCACAAATTTGTACACTCAATTATTCATTTTATTCCAAATTGAAGATGGTGTTCCATGTTCTCCAAAAAATTAGAAAATATACCGAAGAAAATACGTGCGCTGATAGTATTTAACTCTTGAAAGTTTGAGAGAACTCGTGGAAGCTGTGGAAACACTCGCCTGTCGGCTCGTGTTCTCACAGCATTTCTCTTTCTCTCAAACTTCCACTCGTGTATCTAGAACTCGACAGAAATAAGGAAAATGTTCTCTGTTTCTTAAATAATGTACGCTTGAGGCTTGCGAACGCGCGAGCGGAACGCGAGTGCGTATAGCAGTTTTTTTT